AGACAATAAGGCCATGAAAGCAACCTGCTGTCAATGTCTTTCGGGGCATCTTTGACCTTGAATGTCCCTCTGGCCAGGGCTCAGTTATCTCAAGAGCTGGCATGTGACACTGATCTCGCAGACGCCGTGCAGCTGACAGGTGGGCAGAGCTGCAGGCCGCTGTCCGAGGCAGCATCCTCCAGCCTGTGTGCCAGGATCCCATCCGGCCCAGGAAGCTGGGGGCCCCTTTTGCCAAGAGTCAAGCCCAAGAGGGCCCCTGAACCCCTAATGTGGCCCGTTCCACCCAGCTGCACACCCCCTGCTTTCAGAGCACCATAGCCAATTGCTTTGCAAGACCTGGCCTCCTTGTAATTTCCAATTTGTGAGAAATGTAAAAATAGAAGGCCTTGCGCTGCAGGCGGCTTGCATCAAATCGGATGCCACTTTAGTGTCATGTCAGATCACGATAAACGAAGCTCATGGCTTTGTCGGCCACTCTCAGTGGCTTCCAGAACAGTGAAAGGGTGATGACAAATTGGGGACACCTAAGAACGAGGGAAAGATGGCTGGGTGCACAATGCCAATGTCAGTTTTAAATGAATTTAAAGTCTAAGTCCCAAAGACGTTGCAATAGGCTGGGCATCTGGGTGAGAATTTCAGTTCTGCAACTTAGCAGCTGAGGGACACTGGGTACAAATTCATCTCTTCGGACCTCAGCTTCCTCAGTTACTCAATAGTGGCTGTCATGACATTGGCCTCCCAAAGCTTTGGAAAAGCTCCAATGACAGAAAAAAAAAATGGGGAAGTGCTTTCTAACTGTGCAGCTCCTTAAATGGGGAGCCATGGTCCTTGCTACGTGACAGCACCAAGGGCTTTTCCGCTGTGGCCGACCTAGGGCTCCTGGGCCATTTAGAAGCCCAGCCATCTTGCAGCAAGCACCCTAACCCCTCACCTTCTCCGTTTCTTCATCTGCACAGGGGAAATTCTACTACATACCTAAGAGGGTTTTGTGAAAATTAAATGCAATAATATAGGTAAAGCACAGACCACATTCCCCAGCAGATCATCAACTTGCAATAACTGTTAGTTGTTATTGTTGTTGATATTATCATTGGGAAGATATTGAGTGGACTCCCCCCCGCCCCCCCTGGTTTACGACTGAATCCAATCCAAGCCTGTGCTAAAATATCACAGCTTGTGTTCACACTTACGGTCTATGCCAGGCAACCCTAATCTCCGCTGTTAGCTGGCTTCCCACTTACTCCCTCCTCCCCTTCCCCTGGCTCCTGAGGGCTTCAGGTGAGCTCCAACAGAACATGCTGGAAGTTCATAAAGCTCCCTGAGGCACATTTCCTGGAAAGCCCTATTTTGGAGTCCACATCTGGCCTCCTACCCTTTCCCCTCTCAAGTACTACTGTCTTTCCCTCTACCCCCTAGTGACCTTCAGAGAATGGGGGAAAGGTGACAAAAAGGACAGCTGACGCTGGGCCCATTTGCGGAGCTGGAGCGGAGAAATGCCACAGGGCAGTGGATGTCTGATGACCTCCTTGCGGCGGGGAGGGGCTTGCTGCTCTTTGCAGTTGGAGTCAATCCCAGGTTGTTTTCACAGTGCCAATGGCTATGATCTGCCCACCCTTCTCTGGGCACAGAGAAGGTGGGGTGACTGCACAGTTGAACTGAAGGGGCAGTTTGCACGGGCAAAGACAGGCCTGAAGCTGGGTACACCTTGGGCCAGGTGTCAGGGACAGGCTGGGGCATCCCACCTGCTCCCAAGAACAAAGGGGATGTATTTCAGGATAATAGGGGGCTGGAGGTGGCAGGCAAGGTTTAATAGATAGGGGTTGACACTCAGCCTATGATGCACACACAAGCAGGAGGGAAAAAAGATGTGGCCAAATTCATAGTGGTTTGGAACACCTCGATCTCCACTGATAGGAAGTGTCTTTCTGTGATGGCGAGAAGCTGCTTGACTTTGATGCTTTATTTCATGTTGCCCTTAGCATGTGCCAGAGAGGTGGAGGAGCAGCCTGATGGCAGACCCAAGGGGCCCCACTGTCAGGCATCAAAGCCTGACCATCACAGCACCATATCACTCTGTGGAGGTGGAAACCTAGGCCTAGAGGTTCAGCAGCGGGGCAAGTGTTGGCTGGGAAATTAGAAGAGCAGGGTCGAAACCCCTGCTCTACCTCCTTCTAGCTGCATGACCTTGGGCAAGTCACTTCCCCTCTCTGAACTGCAGTTTCCTCACCTCTGCAGTGGAGGATTAGAATTGTACCCACTGCACAAAGTTATTGTAAGAATTATAAGCTGGACACATTGGAAGCTTTTGGTACTCCATTTCTTCCTTCCAGCGGGGAAGAGAACTTACCCAAGGTCATCTGGCCAGAAAAATGGCAACACCCCAGCTCAAGTCTAACTCGTCCAGGGCTCATTCCTGGTCATGGTCTCAGATGGCTCAATGACACTGGTATATATTGTGGGTGGGTCCACTGTCCATCCATGCTGGCTTTATTCTAAGACACTTACTGAGTGCCAGCCGTGTGCTGGGCCACATGTAAACCAATTCATAGCTTTGGAGATCCTGGTTGCCAGCCATGTGAAATCTAGGGGGCAAGAGCTGTTGTGCTTCTTTCAGCTTTGATGGATTTAGGTTTCTTCTTCGCCATCACCCTCTGAGTTGCCTACTCCTTAGCCTCTAGATGCCCCTCCCAACCCCATCCTCTGTTCGTAGGGGACCTACTTCTCACCAAGCTTCCATCCTGGCATAAAGAGTCACACATTAGGAAAGATGGTTCCTACTTTCTCTATCAGGCAGCTGCGTCTGTCCTGTGTGGTTCTTAGGGATCACCCCACTCTCCAGATGCTATGCCAGACAAGCCAGGCTGCGTGTCCCGCTGAACTCACTGTTTGTCCTTCAAGGACTGGCCACTGAGCCAGTGCTTTGCTGGAGAGAGAGTGCTTTCTTTGTTTGCCGCCTGCCTCACAATTTATATCTGAGGCTCAGGGGAGGCTCAGCCATTTTACCCTGGTTGCTCTGGGAGAAGGTCCCTCCCACTCCTTGCTCCAAAGAGAGAGACAGAGGGTGCAAGAAGCCTATAGTTCCACTGACCTCCTTTGTTCTGGAATTTGGGAGTTGGGGTAACCTTTTCAGATTCCATTATGAATACATTTTCCCCAAAGTTCCCAAAGAGAGAAGCTAGGCAATACCTAGCACCTGACAACCCGCTCTCTCCCCAAGCACCCACCTTGTGTGTCACAGAAAAATGAAGGTCAGTTCCAAAGTCCACTTGCATAGCCTGACAGTCTCTGATTTTGGGGGTGTCACCAAAGCTCAGGAGCCATTTTATTCAGCAGCCCTCCCCGCCAAGCCAGTTCTTCATGGGGATCAGACTGAGAGACAGAAAGGCAAAGCTCCAGCCTCACATTAGAAAGAAGTGGGGTGTTATCATTTGGCTTTTTAAAATCCAATTTTCTCCTTAGGGTTCACGTCTATTTTGGGAGGATACTAGCTCAGAGCCTCAGTTGGGGTTGGGGGCGGGCTGCCAGGTATGAGTTCCTTGTCTGAAGAGCAAGCCAAGCTAGTACAGGGCGTCTGTGGATGCCACCCATGGGGATGTGGGGTACATGGAGACCTGATAGGCTTCGCCTCGGGGTAGCCGCGGCAGGCAGAGTCGACATCCCAGGGGGAGTAAATGCCAGAACACAAGACAAGGTGAGATTGGTGCCCTGGTGGCAAAGGGACACAGTTCTTAAAACCTGCGGTGGAGCCCCCTCACCCCACATCCCTAAGGGAAAGGAGTGGGGCGAATAGCGAGAGCTTGTGTGCACTCAGCCAAGCTGTGCTGTGCTTTTTAGCCAACATTTCTTGAGAGCTGCAGCTGCCCTGGGATAGGAAGGAGGTGTCCCGTCCCCAAGTAACTAGGCTCCTTAGCCCTTGGAGAATACATGATGGTCACGGCTCTATCTCGACGCAGCTGACTCTGAGAGAGAAAAGTGGCGCATAGTCCCCCAAACATTCACTCCCGGGTCCCCCACTATCCCCTGGGCAATGGACGCGACGCTTCGACGGCTCCAGCAGAGTCCAGTGCTAACCCGGAGGTCCAAGGGGCCCCGCGACAAGGAAAGGGCATGCGATTCTGGTGACTCGCCCGCGAGTCCTCTGTCCTCCGAGCCTCCCTAGGGAATGGCCAGGACGATCGTCGACGGGCGGAGCGGCGCTCTGGCTCCTTCATGTGGCCCCAGGCGAAGCCAAGTGCGGGGGTTGCAATCTCCGGGTGTCCGCCCCCCACCCCGCCAGGCCCAGGGCAGCGGCTCAGGGCGGCAGGCCGTCCTGCCCCGACTGTCCCGGGCTTTTCGCCCCGCGCCCCGACGCCGGCAGGCCGTTCCTACCTGCGGCCGGGGCTGCGCGGCCCGCGGCGGGCGCTGCGCGGGAAGCTCGGCCACTCCGGGGAGCTCCGGGCGCGAGGCCGCTCTCGCACGGTCCGCGCTGCGCTCCCAGCTTCTCGGTTCCTCCGCTCCGCGCAGCTCGCCCGCAACCTCGCCGCTCGCTCGGTCTTTCGAGGGCGGGCAGAGGAACGCGAGGAAGGGTGGGCGGGGGAGCGCGGGACAGAGGGGCGGGAAGCGCGGCGGGGGCGTGGCCGCCGCTCAGGAACCCGCCCTCCCGGGGAGGGGCTTGCCCGCGCCTCGCGGCCCCCGCCGGGTCCACCTCCCCACCGCCCCCTGCCTCCGCCCGGCAGGGGCCGCGCTCCCAGCTGCTTACTCGCAGCGCCCGCGCCTGCAGCCTCGTCTTTTCCCTCACCCCCACTGCCCTCCAATTCTCCCCTTTCTTCCCTCTTTCTCCCATTTACCCCTTCCAGTTTTCCTCTCCACATCTCCTCTGCTTCTCCCCTCGTTCTCCTTTTATTCTCTCTCTCCTTTTCCCACTCCCCCTCTCCCAACCCTCTCTTCTGCCTGGCTGGCTCCAAGCTCCCTTCCTCCTCTCACTCGTTCCTTCTCCTCCAGTCTGTTGCCCTCGTCCCTACCTTGGCTTTGGGGTCCTCAGGCTGTCTTGGTCTCAGTCTCCCAGGACCTTTCAACATGGATTTCTCTCTTGGTTTTTCTCTTTCCACCTTGTAGGTCTTCTTCTGTCGGTGTGTCTTTTTGTTTCTTTTTCTCTGTCCCCTTCATCTCTGTAGGTTACAGGGTCCTCAGTGTGGGTGTGGGGTGGGTTCCTGCCCCCTTTCTGTCCCCCTTCTCCCCAGCAACCTCCCCTGTGTATTACAAGGGGAACACAGCTTCTGGCCTGGAGCTGACAGCCTCTTGGGACCAGGCTGAGTGTGTGCTCTGGCAGGGAGGGGTGGGTTGGAAGGGACACCCTGTCCGCTGCCAGGGGTTGGTCATGGAAACACAAGCGTCTATGTGTGTTGTGGATGGACAGATGGATAAACAGATGACGGAAAACGGAAGCACAGCCTGGAAAAAACACCCAGGGATGATGGCAGAACCCGGAGACAACCTCTTCTCTCCAGTTCTTGAGGTTTGACAATTGTCCCAAAGAAGCCTTTCTCCCAGCCAATCCCAGCCTAGTGTTTGAGGACTCCCTCCCTTCCCCTTGCTAAGTCCTGACCACATCTTCCTTTCACAAATGCTCCTGGGAATGGGGCCATGAGTACTTTTCTCTCTGTATCCCCCAAAGACTCACAGAAAAGATTGCTTCTCTCCAGCCTGGACCTACTTTTCATCTCCTCTTTCTGTCCCCAGGGCTGGCATTTGCTGATTGACTTCCCATGCCCACACTCTGACGATCCATCCTGGGGTCCCACAACAGGCAGTGCTCCCCAAGGTCACCCGGTCTTCTCTTGTGTCTTTCCCCACACTCTCAGCCAGAGCATGGAATCTTTATATCTTTCTTGACCCATCCATTCCTCCCACCTCACTGGTCACCAGTTCCTTGTGACCTCCACCAGTACTTCACATAAATATTTACTGAGCTGCTTCTATTTGCCAGGCACTGTCCTAGGCTCTGGAGACACAGCAATGGGCAAGACAGAAAAAACCACAGACCTCAACCTGGTCCTGGACCAGCACGAGAGACAGGCTTTTGTCAAATAGCCACACAAGCACAAAGTGACAAGCTCTGCCAGAAGCACATATTTCAGGGGCTCCCAATCCAATTCGGGATGGTCAGAGAAGGTTTCTTCAAGGGAGTACCATTTGAACCATTTGTGGTCCAAAAGATGAATAGCAGCCATCTAAATGGGATGTGGGACACAGCTTTGAGCAAGGATATAAAGTTAGGAAAAATGGAAGCTATTTTTTGCTTGCTTGATACTCATTTCAACTTCTTTAAGGAAAGCACCTCAATTTTAATTTGGGGGACTTCCCCTCTTCTACGCACACTTCTGTGTCTGGGTGGGGTTCCCTTCTTCCAGAGGTGGGCATGTAATCCATAGGACATTACCATGACCTTAGTGGGGGGAACATGTGACATTTGCTGCGTCAATGAGAACTCACCCTGGGACTCTTGCTAAAATTATTGTCAAACAGAAGCGTGATCTCTGCTGTGGTTTCTAAGCCTGGAGCTCTCAGCAGCTGTCTTGGTCACATCTTGAGCAGATCCCATGTGAGAATGAAGCCAACATAGAGGGAGGCAGAACTGAGAGATGGAGCGTAGATGAAGACCTGATGAATACTATTTGAGTCCCTGGGTTCAGCCATGCCTGATGGCAGTTTAGTTATTTAAATTTCATTAAATTCCTTTTTGTCACTTATGCAAGTCTGAATTCATTTTATGTTGCTTATAACCAAAATAGTCCTGATGAACCCAGGACTGGAGTAAGATATATGAAGAATTACTTATGTAAAGGAGTAATAATAACCATTTCTATCTTCCTTCCTTTCTTTAGGTCTCCTGAATAGCTTCATACAAAATTTGTCTCTTTTTTTTTCTGTATTCCTGATCCGAAGTTATTTTCCCTCCATCTTCATTGCTCTAAATGTATTTTGCCTACATACGAACGCAAACTCTGGCTGGTCAATTTCATAGGCTGACCATCTGATGCTGGAATTATCTCCTCAACATTCTCTGGTCCCTGCCTGTCTCCCTACACCTCCATGACTGTCCAGTATCTGTCTTCACATCTCCAGTGATGGGGACCTCAATCTACCAGGCAAATAGTTTCAAATGACAAACTCATATTGGTTGAGTTTTAAGAACTGCAGTGGGGCTTTAGATAAGGGGCACTATACTATGAAATTGAGGTGGCTACATGCAGGGCCTCCGTGTCCTTCCCAAAAGCCCAGGCTAAAGTCTTTCAAAGAACTCGCATGCATTCGCCATGGGGCAGAGTGATGGGTTCTGTTAAGGAGGGTTCCCAAAATGTGGGCTGGCAACCACTGGTGGTAGCTAGGATAATTTTCAGTGTAGTAGAATACCTAGACATGCAAAAGCTCTTTCATATTCATCTTCCTGTAACATCGTTGTGACTTCTGTCCATGACCAAATCTCAGGTTAGTGCTAATTTGTCCTCAACACCTCTTACGATCATGTACTAATCCCATTTAACTAAGAGAGATGAGCCTTAAGACTCCAGCCTTGGTAGACAATAATATCTAGTTAGAATTGAATGCATTGCCCATTTGTCCTTGTGTTTATTTTAATGGAGACCTAATTCTGGCAAGTAATACTGATCTTCTAGTTATAGTGTGATGTACACTTTCGTTTTGAGATACATTTATTTAATCTAAAAAAGGAAAATATTTAAGTAAATAAAAATAGACACAGCACACAGATTTTTGCAAAACTCCTGTGGGCTGGTTTGCAAATGATTAAAGTTTGAGTAGCCTAATTTAGAGAAGCAGTTCACCCATGTGTTTACTCACTCAGCAAATGTTTATTGAGCACCTCTGAGCAGCAGCAGGCACAGAGAAATCTAGACAAAGAGATAATACAGTTGATAGGAGATCCCATTAGAGACGGCAGGGCCGGAGCAAGGAAGACTTAACCTCTCTGTTAAATAATTAGATTTGACCTTCAGGCACACTGGAAAGCCATTGAACGTGCTGGAGCAGAAGAGTGAAGAGTAAGATTTAAGAAATCTGAGATTGGCCAGGTATGCAAGGTGGATTGAAGGGGAGAAAATTGGAAGTCAAGAGGCCAGTGGGGCCTGTTGTATTACAGGTGTGATATGAGGAAGTCTGGCACCAAGCAGAGTTCCTAGCACACAGTAGGAACTCAGTAAATGACTGAAAATTCTTGTTAATATTATTGTTATAGGCCTCCTCTCCCTTTCTTGACTTGGGGTAGTTATTGAGTCATAGATTTACGGGGTGTCAGGCTGGAAATGGCCCTTAGATATTACCTAATCAAATCTTTTTATTTTAGAAGTGGGTGAACTGAGGCCCAGAGAGAGGCAATGACTTGCCTGAGGGCACCTAGATATCTGGTGACAGAGGCAGGAAGACGATGACTACTGGCTACATTTTGGAGCACTTGCTGTGTGCTCATCATTGACACATGGGGAAAAAAGGGCCTAGGGAGTTGCTGGCCCAAAGTCACACAGGAAAGAGAAGCAGAGCTGGGGACCAACTCAAGCCCAGCCATTTCCAAAGCTAGTGCCCCTGGAACTTTCCTGCCACCCCAGACAACCTCCTGTCAGGCCACAGGTGATGCTGTGAGATCAGGATGCCAAGGTCTGTCACTGACTCTCATGTGGCTTCAGGTAAGCTTCCTCCTCTCTCAGAGCCCCAGGTTCCTCCCTGTAAATTAAAGAGATTGCACTTTCCAGCTGCCATTCCAAGTCACCAGGCTGCTGCGGGAGGGCTCAAGGGAGGCCAAGCCTGTATCTGCTCCCCATCCCTTGCCCATGCCTCCTGCCTGCACCCCTATCAGCTGCTTGGAGCAGACTCAGTCTCCACAGACAACATCTTCCAGCATCCCCAAAAGAGTAAGACTGAGAGGCCTCCCTTCCAGCTAAGAAAACATCTCCTGTGGGGAAACAGGACTTCATGTTTGTTTACTGACGGGGGATTATTACTTTAACCACATTTCCTGCATGCCAGAAACTTCCCCATTAGCAAAAGCACTGCTGCATTAATGTTTGTGACCACTTGAAAAACCACAATAAACCTCGCGGGAGATAATAGGACATAAGATCACTTTGTTATCCTGTCCAAGTCATGCTGGGGCAGATCCCTGGCAGGGGCCTCATTGCTGAGTGTTCAAATATTTGTGTGTGTCATACTATGCTGGCTTCAATACTTTATCACTTGGTCAGACTGCTGTTTCCAAAGAGACAGCCCCCCAAAATGGCCAGGGAGCAGCTGTGGAGAATTAGTTTGTCCCTGAGTGGCTGTCCCAATAAACATTTCTTCCGCATAAACAACATGCAGCCTTGTGGGTAATATGGTGGCTTTGGAACTAGACAAACCTTGAACAAGTGACCTCACCTTCCTTGGCCTCAGTTTCTTCATCTATAAAGTGAGAATAATAATAGCAGCTACCTGCCAAGGTTGCTAGACAAAGTCAGATTACACTCCGGCGCGTGATAAATGCTCAATATGTTTTTATTATTCTGCTGCCTTTCACAAGGAATTGTCCTGCCCTCTCTCTCCAGCTGACAAGATTCCAGTTGACAACTGAGAGATGAAGACAATCTCAGATGTTACCACCTCCAAAAATTTTGCCTGATTTTTACCCGATTGTATATGTTTTCTTCTTCCTTCAAATTCCCACACAGATCTTGTTCCTGCCTCCCTTTCAATATTTACTGCTCTCCATTTGGTGAGGGCAGGGAGTGTTGTCCCTTGAAGCCCTGCACACAATAGGTGCTCAATACTTTTCACCCTTACATTCCTTCCCAGTGCACATAGCCTGGAACTCTTGGATTCCTTCCACAGGCATTGTCTGCATCCAGCCACATGAGACTACTTTCACTGCCCCTCAAAAGGTTCCCTCCTCTGGGCCTTTACATATGCTGTTCCCTCTGCCAGGAACACTGTTCTCTTATCCTCTTCTTCTGGTGAATTCTTTATTCTGCAGGTTTCAGCCTGAATGGCAGCAGGACTCCTCTTGCCCTCCCGGCTTGACTCAGTTCCCCGGCTGTATTCACTCTGCCTAGAAATGTACACACTGGGCTAACCCTTGGCTTCATCCTCTGTCTCTCCTCTTGACTCTAAACTGTGTGAGGTCAGGGATGGGTAAATAGCCCAGTGCCTGGCACACAGGCAGCATCCGCTAAATATCTGTTTAATAGAGGAATGCGCAAGTGAAAACCATGTGTTCATGCCCCACTCAAGTGTCAGGTTCAGGGATATGCACACCTGCCCTCAGACAGACAGTGTAAAAGAAGGGCCTTGAGTTCTGAAAACCCTTATTTTTTTCTC